ATAGCATTTGTTTCTAGTGGTGTGTCGATAGAAAACTGATCACCTGTATTTTTCACCTGGCAGCGAGCAGAGGCTCCGCCTGCAGTGGATCTTCCTCTTTCATTCACATTGCGCAGCCTGAAGCAAATCCTAAGCACTGTGATCTGAAACTTTAGTGTTTCGAGAATAATGTGAAGTGTGCGTCTAGCAAAGAAAAAATGTATTTATCAATACACCGGGGTGTAAATATTTCAGAGATGCTGTACTGTCGCATCTCCAGCAAACAGTGGAGCAAATGTCTCAGTAAAAAAGCTGCAGGATGTATGTATTAAAAGAAAAAAGATTGGTGCCAGGAAAAGAGTTTTAGCGCCTCACTCAATCTTAAACACAGTGTAGAAACCAGAGGAACAAAACTGAGTTTTTGCATCCACTAAACAGCTAAATCTAAGCCAGGCTCTCAGGCCGTTTTACTCAGGAACTTATGATTGTTTTTTTTGTTTTTTTCAAATTTCCATTGACAATTCCTTTGCTTGCAACAATAATGGAACAACATTCAGTTGCTTTAACTTTAATTATTTATTAATATTTTTCATAATGGACCAACACCAAGTACTGCAACTGTGATGGGAAAAAAATAATGACCTTTTTTTTCAAATTAGAATATTATATTTTGATATGCGTTTCTATTACTGAGTCAATACTTTGTAGAACTGTATGTTTGCACCTAAGTGAAGTTGCCCCCCTCCAGAGATTCCCAAAAGTCATGCAGACCCCCAACTTCTTCAAATCGAACAAAAAATTGTCACTCAATTTTCCTATGTTTGTGCTTGAACGTGCAACAAATGTTTATTGGTTATTAACAAAGGTTAATAACACAAACAAAGGTTCAAAGGTCAACAAGCCTCAACTAAACCAAACTAAAATGGTTTTGAACATTTTTTTGTCCTGCAAAACCTTTCATTTACACTGGTTTTGTTTTTATATTACTGATGAAAGTTTAAAGGTCAAAAGGTTTAAACCTTTAAACAAAGCTAAAACGATTATTTCTTTTTTATTATTATTAATATTAAAAACATATTAGTAAAGAGTAAAAAAAAAAATAAGCAAATAAAATACTGTACAGTGTACCTGGAGATTAAATAACTACTATGCAGCTATGAACATTTTTACAGTAATGGATATTTGAAAATAGCAGCAACATCAGAGATGTGCAAAATAACAGCAGCATGTTATTTAACTGACTAAGGTAGAAACTGTTCAAAATCAGCATGAATGTAACAATTTATTGAGGTTGTTGTGTTTTTTATAATCTAATCCTGGTTTAAACATCTCTGTAGACCATCACTGGTCTTCTTGCTGCTGTTTTTCTGGTAATCTTTCAAATTTCTGAGTTTTTCACAGGAAAACAGGTTTTATAATTAGATTTGAATAACAAAGGTGGAAGATTTAGCTATATGTTCAGAAAGCAGCTGTTTGTACTAGATTGTTTTTTTAAAGTGGTATCAGAATAAAAGAGGCAGAAAACCACCTATTTTTTCTTCAAAAAATCTAAATAAATAATTATTTCATTTTCCTTACACTTCACTAAACTTTGTTTATAACTTAAAATCCAATTAGAATCTATTGAAATTTTTTGTTGTATCTTCATAAACGTGAAAATATTAAAAGGGTGTGAATACTTCTGAAGGGCGTGGTGAATGGGTTCATTTGCTGTTTGGGTTATGAATCACTGACCTATGTGAGCTAACAGCAGCATCTTTTTATACCCTGCAGTCTTCATTTCCTAGGCAGGCGTCCCTCCGGGAGCTCTGAGACGGAGCCGAGTCGCCACACTCTGTCCACATTGAGCTGCCACCTGCTTTGTTTTCCGTTTGCTCTGGACCTGCCGTCACCAACCTTGTCCACGGTCCTGCAGGTGTATGACAGCTGCCACGTCGCTTCCAGCCTCCTGCAGGTCAGGGCTTCCTAATGCTGCTGTAAAGACCTCCATGCCAAACTGAAGTCTGATGCAACACATGATAAGTGTTGCTCTGCTCACGTTCAACAAGCTCTGCTTTACAGTTTAACACCTTTGTGCTCCAGCGGACGGGCGAGAGCTGTTTGCTGTCAAATGATAGACGTCTGATGAATTGTTCTGTGATTTTGATGCCTTCACAGGTAATTCAGACATTCTCTCATTCTCTGCTGGAGCTGCCTCTCTCCCTGCTGAGCCGTTTAATGTTGTGTGATCCTGAGCACTCCATCTCCCATATTGGCGAAGGTGCTGGCTTTTTTTCATCACCTCAGACTCCTCTCACCAGAACTGCCAGCTCTCTCCTTTCCGACTTGCTGCAGCAGGATGTGCTGTGGGACTCTGCAGTGGAGCTGCTGAACCTGCTGTCCCAAGTGGCCCGCTGCTCCTCTCAGTTCGCCTCCCCTCTGATCCATGTCGAGGCCGCACCGCTGCAGCAGGCGCTGTCTCATCCATACAACCAGATGCGAGCTGCTGCTTGTAGATTCCTAGGAAACTTCAAACCTTTAAGACCTAATGAAGAAGGCACCCTGCAGGTGGATGTTTTCAGACGCATGATTAACTGTCTCATGGATTCCTGCCCGCAGGTGCGTCGAATGGCTTGCAGGGCTGTGGGGAACTGGCTGGGATACATTGCTGCAAAGTTTAAAATGGGAGGAAACTGCAGTGACACTTCAGGTAGAGACAGTGAGAACAATAATAGTAAACAGAGAAGCTTGCATATGGCAGCAGCCAGTGATTCATCTTTTAGTGAAGACGAGCAGAGAAGATGGACGGAGGAAGCTCGCAGATCGGCGGCCGCCCTCACCTGTCTGCTCTCTGACACTGATGCTGTAACACGGCGTCACTGCTGCAGAGCTCTAGGAAACTTGGTCAATGTTGACGGCGTTGTGTCCGTTTTGGAGGAGGGGGTGTACAGCTCCCTCCTCAGAGCAGCGCACAAAGATTCGGACGGCGCAGTGAGAAACGCTGCTGAAGCAGCCCTGAAGCTTTGCAGGGACCAGCAAGGAGTAAAATGAGCCACTGACGAGAAGGCAGGTGTCAGAACTACAGTGTCCTTTCATGTTTGTATAGTTGGACCAATACAGACGTCTCACATCCTTTGACTCTTTAGTAAATAAACAGTTGGTATGAAAAGAACAAAAGCATGGAAAACATAATTTTTCCTATATTTAAAATCAGAAGTGACTTGCTTGTGTTACTGTGCACACCTTTACAACAATTGTAACTGTTTTCATCAGTTGAATCCATCAGCTTTCCATCACACACCCTAATATTGTGGTTCTTTAGAACCATTCCTAATTTTACACACTTTAAGTCTTGTTCCGGGTGAAGGAAATGACCCCATTCCATGATGCTGCCCTCACTGAGCTTTACTGTGCAGTTTTTTAAAAGATTTAAGGCTTCCTTTAGGCTGAGATAAAGCTGTATTGTCTTTTAACCATATTCAGTCATTCAGAGATCGTCATTTTACTTAGAACCTAGCCTGCTCTTGCTGCACATTGCTGTAGGTCCTCTACTGTTACTGTTGGAGAAGGAGATCATTTTGATCCTTCATAAAAAGTCTGTGAAATGAAACTTAAGCTAAAAGGTGTCAATTATTTGGAATTCCTAGGAAAACTGACCTCTATCCCAAGTTAAATGGATTACCTTTAATTGATGCTGGTGTGCGCTGAAGAAGACCCGATACTGAAACTGCACCGTAGATCCTTCAGCAATTATAGTCCAGGTTTGCAAGCTTGCAAGACCAGAGGCCGCGTTTGTTCTCTTATAATGGAAAAAGTGAAATAAAATAATTTCTTTTGTTTCTATTTAAGCTGTACATGAGAACTGTGGTTAGGCTTTTAATATCCACTGTGTTTGTAAGATCTTGAATTTGATCAAAACCTTTTCTTTTGCTTTTCAGCTTTTTTTATCTATTTTACTTTTCCTTCAATTATTGGGAAGCTTTAAAGTAACTTTACGATGTTCATTTCAGCAGCACAAACAGATGTAAGAAAGGTTATAAAAGATCCAATCATTCTTTATTATTTTGAAATTTATCCTTTACCTTCTTTTTCTTTCTTTAAGTTAAAATATTAAAAGAGAAGTTCCAGGTAAATTATTCCTGGTTGTCACACTTTTTCTTGTATAAATTAGTCATTAATTATTCTTAGGTAAGTATTACTTTAGTAAGCTCCATCTAAGGATCATCTTATTTTTATTTGCAAGGCAGTGATAATAGATTATGATGTAGAAATTGAGTAGAACTTCTAAATTAACTATTATATATAAACAATAATGTTAAGAAACAGATGGGCTACTACTGATGCACTTCAATAAAGAAGGCGACTTCTTTTAGTAATTTATTCAAAATTAGTTTATGCATGTCAAATTGAGTGGAACTACATTATTTACAGGATTTTAAAATATCTCAATAATTTATAAAGAAAAAAAAAGAAGATATTTATGGCAAAAGAAAAAGTCGCCGTAAAAACTAACTCTTTCTCCAACTTTGAACACATCGCGGATGTTTGCTGCAGCGGAGCGACTTCCAGCTGTTTCCCATCTGTCTGCAGGCCCTCTGGGATTTTTAATCACTACTTTATTTTTTATCTGAACGGAATTTTATTTGTTTTTAGTTATTTTGTGTTTTAAAATATTTTTTTTAGCTCTAGTCTAAAAACTTTTTTTTAATGGCCTAATAACCTGCAGAGGAACCTCCGCGGCAGCCGCGTTTTAGATGATCGACGAACAAATAGTTTGATCCATTTTATTTACACCTCATTTGATTGAACAGAAAACTAAATAATACAATCTAAATATTTTTATTCTTTTTTCTTATTTTCTGTTTCATACCGTCATCTCTGGTGTCTCTTCGGAACGTTTTGAATCAACATTAAAAAAATGTTCTCAATGAGAATGAGAGAGAAAAACTATTTCAGATCAGTTTGTCTGTTTTAATTTGGTTAAAAAAAAAACACCTGAGTCCATTTTATTTTGGGAAAAAATAATAATAAAAAAGGGATAATAAACTCAATGAGGTTTTATTTCTAATTAACTTTTTTAATGAAAACAGTTACACCACACAGAAAGAAACATACATACGTGGATAAATTACCATAAAATTACATAGAGATACAATGAGTTGTCAGCCCGTATTTTTGGTTTAATTAACTTCTGATAGTACACCGCTGAAGTTTAACATCATGAACCTCAAGCCAGAACAAAACAAAAACAAAAATGCAAATAAATGACAAATGTCAAAAATTGTAATGTGCAAAGAAAGAAAGAAAGGAATGTGCAAAGTTTCTCTAAGTTATTAAGCAAATAAATTAATAAATAATAAAGCAAACACAACTAAACATAATCTTACATTTCTTCCTATTTTTTTATTAAAAGGAAAATCCACACAGCCCCTCTCCCTGAACATATAAAAAATACAAATTAGTGCAGCTCAGCTGGAGGCTTATAAAACTTATTGCCTTTAGGAGACAATCCTCATTTCTGAATCCCTACATATTCTAATTTAGATAATATAATAATGCTAAAACATGCAGAATAAAAACTGCAAAAACGCCACAAATTTTTATGTTTGCACCCAAATATAAAACATTGTTTTTTTAATCCAAAAGGAAAACATGAAATCCTGCAGAAGAAAGAAAAAGTTAACTGGAAAGCTTCAAGTCTATTACCTCCTGCAATGATTATCTACTGATGTTTAAAGATCAGGAGGACAGAAAGTTTAACCTGAGCTCTAAAACAAGTCGATTTATTTATTGCAATTTCAAATCTACAGCCATAGCACAATAAATAACATGTCAGTTTACTTTAAAGCAGTGTTAAGCAGTGATATGCGTGTTTTCACAAAATAAAATGAATTTTTTTTAACAGTTGCTAAAAATATTGCAGTGGTTTCATCTCATATTAAAGATTATATAAATAAATTGATAAATTAAGCAACAATTAAAAATTACAGGAATGTTTGTGTGAAAAGAATGTCAGAACAAATTTTTTTTCAGAGCTGAAACATTCCACCATAACACAACATCTAATCCAAAAAATAGGACAAAAGGAGAATCCTTAGCTTCTATTGCTGACATCAATTTCAATGTAAGGCTGTTGATAAATACATAACCTGCTGTTTGAAATGACGTTACATTCCCCCAAAAGAACCCGAATTCATTCAGCAGATTCAGAGGAAGATCTGTTAGAGATGATTGTCAGGTAAAGCATGGCAGCGCCACAGTGAAGGAAGGCTCGGGTGATTTCAGTGCCAAAAAGTGATGAATTATTGATTTAAAATTCAGGGAAAAAACTATTTGTATTATCAAAGCATGCAGTACCGCCCCCCCCATTGGCAGATCAACAAAAAATAAACATTCATTTCACAAGAAGATGAAAACACAAAAGTGATGCGGCGTTACGCTGTGGCGTCCTGCTTCAGCCTCTGGCTGCGCGCCTTGTAAACTTCGATCAGCAGGTCTTTGACGTATTGGATTTCCCTTTCCACGGACTCTGCCTTGTCTCGCAACTCGCGGTTCCTCCCCTCCAGGCAGTGCAACTGCTCCTCCAAAGAATCAAGCTCCGCCCTTTTCCGCTGGCGATACCTATGTCAAGCAAAAGATGTTGATTTCTATTATCTTTTTTTAGCTCTTGTGAAAACCCTTGATTCTTTTTTTAAATTATGTCGAAATGAGGATTTACCTATGAGCGGCAGTTTTGTTCTGATCTCTTTTCTTCTGCTTCCGCTCCCCGCCTTCGTGTGGAATGATGTCTACTTCGTATTTCACAGCGCAGTGGTCTTCCCTCAGCCTGCACGCCTGCCTGTGCCCTGAGGTTTCCATGTTCAGACTCTCCCTCGCCATCAGAAAGCATTCTGGGGCCTGATCCTCCAGGTAATTACTGTGTAAATCAGGCTGCAGCATCTGCAGACTCTCTGTTTTCACCTGTTCATTGATGTTTCCCAAGAAGCTGCTGTAGGCCTCCGATTGAGCCGTCGCTGGGATGTAGCAGCTTTCGCCGACGTCGCTTTTCCACGAGACGGTGGCCTTTGTCACCTCCACGCTGGTCTTGACGCCGCTCAGCGCCTCGCCGCTGACCTCCCTCATGCTGTACATTAACATGTCCTCTTTCTTCTGAGGGGCGTCCAGAGTCCCGCCGAATCCAAACCCACCACCAGCAACCTTGACGCCACTTATTGCATCTTGGGTGAAACAGCAATTTTTCTCGTCTTTGGATAAGCCGCCACATCTTCTGACCTCAATTGTGTTACCCAAGCAGTAGTTTTTCCCTACCAGTTGCTCCTCCTCGACGCAGCTGTAATTACTCGTTAGTGTCGCAGCAGAGGAACCCGAGTTGCCTCCTTTGGAACCCAACAAACTGTTTTCGTAGCCGTCGCCAAACCTCACGCCCTCCAGGATTCTTTTCCTACCACACCCACTGGGGCGGCTGCAGCTGTATGGGGCATGTCTGGGAATTTTGGATCGCCCTATGGACCCGCCACAGATGCTCAGCAGATCCAGCTCCCCGGTTGCCAGGGTAACAAGAAGCGGGTTGGACTCCGATTGGGTGGACGCAGAATACGAGGCATATGGCAGTTGACTGAATGGCTGAGAACCCGCCGGCAGTGGACCCCTGTCGCATTTCCCCAGCCGCTGCCCTTTTTCCGGCAGTGGCTCAGACAGGAAGTAGTCTTCAAGCTGGGCTAGTTCCTCCTGCAGCAAAGAGGTCATGACCTCCAAGTCAGAGGGCACCTGGATATCATTCTGAAGGGGTGAAGGGGGAAGGGAGGCATTGGTGGAGGAGGGAGGGGAAGGAGGATTTGGGAGGTACGAGGAGAAGTCCACTTCTTCCGTCATCCAGTCAGTGAGACCATCACCTAAAGAGGAGGAGGAAAAATGTTGGTTTGACGTACAAAATGTTAACAGTAAAAAAATAAAAAAAAGTAAGAAAATATCACTTAGCAGTCCAAGGATCATTTAATCGTTGTTCGCAAATGCAGAGCGCATCTCTTTAAGTCGCCTCAAATGTCGATAAAACAACCCTAGCTAGTTTTTTACTTACTGTTCAAGAAGGACGAATGTGCTGCAGTGCCGAGCCCACCTGAAATGAGGAAAAATATCAACAAAAAAAAAAACGCACTCTCTGCAACTCACCAATTAAACGCGGGCTCTCCTCTGACACCTCCCCCCTGCACCCCTGTGATTGGCTGTGGCTAGCCTGTGGGGGAGAGAGAGCGAGGGGGTCTGCCGGGCAGACACGAAGAGTCCTCCAAACATGAGCTGATGTTGCCATCATTTTGTCTGCTGACGCCTTGATTTAGTCCGAGTCCGACTATACGCTGGGAGCGAGCGGGGTCTGACTGATGGGCCACAGAGAGCAGGGCAGGGTGAGCATAATGAAACCTGCGGGGCAAAGCAGAGTTATCAGTAAACAGAAAACATCCAGATTGTGCAATCAAATGGACATCTACACAACTGGATCTTGTGACAAAACAGTAAAAAAAAAAAAAAAAAAAAAACATCCTACAAATTGAATAAGTTACATGCAAATGTCCTTAAATAAATAAGCATAAAACACACTTTTCAAGAGACAGACTATTATATTTGGAGCCAAAAAGTGATACTAGAGGCAACTGTCTCCTTTGGACTTTAATCACCCTGGAAACACTTCACATTCTAAAAACACGTGGGACCTCTCAGCTCTGCTGCCATGGGCCAAAACTGTTGATGCAGAATCTCCAAGGTAACCATGTGTCTCAAGTGAGAGGCACCCTGGTGGTTAAATGGGATTAATGCAGATCAGCTGCTTCCCATGCAGCGTTCTTTTAAACAAATCCTCTGCTTAAACGGTTCACATTACAAATATGACAGTCTGCAGACTGGTGAACCGTTATTTAATTTTAAATTTTAATATACCTTATACACACAAAAGGAGCAATTAAAGTTTTAAAAATACGGGAATGACAACTAAAATAACCGATAATAAATGTATTCTTATGATATAACTATAATGAAATACGCATTTCCCAATAAACATCGTTTAGCGAACTATTTAAAGTAAATAAACAACGGCTAATAAGTTGAAGATTGAACAGAAATCGTTCAAGAAAGAATAAATGAAATGCGATGTTCAGTTTAAATGACAGAAATGGAAAGAAGTAGAGAAGTTTGACTTACTCCATTCTTGCGGAAAAACTGTAGAGCACTTTGGGTGCGTTGCTAAAGCAAGGCACGACTTCTATTCGTGTCCAAGGAGGTCAGTGAGAACTTAAAGAGCCATGTTTGGCTCCGAATAACCCAGGACGTCGCAAAAAATAAAAGCACAGAGCACCAGATGCTGCTTTGTTGTGGTCGAGCTGTAAACTGAAGAGCCGTTTGACCGAGACAAAGCATCAGTTCATTCACACCTAGCAACCGATTACGTCACCGGGTGGTAGAACGTGTTGTTGTTGTTCGGCGCGGATCACTCCACCCACTCCCACCCTCAGCGGAGGAGCACCAAAGGACGGCCCACACGCTCACTGCCACTGCCAGCTCTAACTGATGACTTGTTGGAAAAGTTATGATTCCAACCTCTTAATGAAGCCACTCTAGAGGTGTTTATATAATTGTACTTTACTTTCATTCGATGTTTTCAGCAATAAAAACAGAAACTTTTTGGGGAAACAGAAAGTAGTTCCACAAATTAAGTTAATGTACTTATTTTTTGTGGGGGTTTTTTTGTTTTACTATTGTTGACAAGTTAGCACCGTTAGCTTCTCAGCTCATCTTGTTTATTTAAAGTTTAGAGATTTATCACGGACAACTCTTTGACTCCGTTCTCACAGTATTGTTGTTCTGTAGGAAGCTGTTGCAGGTCCGTTGCATCAGTGGTCCGCGCTCACTGCGATTGGCTCCCCGACCTTCTACTGCCGCTTTCTTATTGGCTGGAATTTGGTCGCTCAGAAATATGATTGGATAGTGGTAGGCAGGGGAAGCATGCCTGTGTTGTTATGCCCCCTCCCTCCACTTTATCCAGTGCACATGTTTCATGTAAACAAACCGGGCGCGGTGACAGGTACAGCACTTTTCCAAACTAACAGGAAGCTTGACTTTAAGTTTCACATTTAAACTTTGAATTCTATTTATTTTTAGTGAAAGCAATGTTTTTATTAATGTAATACCTAGTAAGATGTTTTTAATTACATCGTTTTAAAAGTGATGTAACTATATTACTTAGTGTTATGACATAATACTGATTAAAATAATGTTAATTTTAATATATGTTGAAATTAATTCAACAGTAGCTAAGTCACTACTTCATGAGCAATTTGTTGCACTAAATGACAGATAATCAATGAATAAGAGATTAATTATTAAGATTATAAATTGTTATCCAAATAAAGCCTGAATAACCATTACTTTCTAGCTATTTGGGTGATATACAGCCCACTAAAACATTGACAAGGTCTATTTATAATAGCTATGTTAGAATTAAAGCTTTGTTTTTCTCCTTTCAGCAAATCCCAAAGCTGAATGTAAGCTGTTCTTCTGTTGCTATAGCAATAGCGGACACTGCCCCTATTTTAGACTTGTTTTCTGGTTGCTGTTGCCATGGGATTTGCATCTCTCTCTCTCCCCACCCTACCTTCTGTTCTTCGCTCAGATCACCTCTGTAACACAAGTCGTCTCTGTCCAACCATTCCTCTATCTCATTTGCTGAGTTGTAATTATGCGACATTATCTGTTTGCCAGAATCAATAGCTTTATTTACAGTTCAGTTAACGTGACAGATTGATAGGCCTGTAAACAATTTTTCTGCTGGGAAGCTTCTAACTCGATCTGTCGATAACATTATCTTGATAGCGGAGTTGTTTGAAAGGTCTGAATATACTTTGTTTTGAATAATTGTTTGCCCATTTATAGATTTCTTCTCTTTTTACTTTTTTGTCACACTTGCAGAACAATTTTTAATTGATTTAATGAATTTAATTTGTGAAAAGCCTTTAGATGAAATGTGCTGTAAACTGGCAAATACAAATATAAAGTAAAACTGATTAATATTAAACTAAGATAACCATATATATATATATATATATATATATATATATATATATATATATATATATATATATATATATATATATATATATATATATATATATATATATATATATATATATATATATATATATATGGTTGAAGACAGTAATTTTGATAGAACAAGGGACTTGATAAAAATGGCATAAATGTTTATTTAGCAAAGCAAAAACCACAGGTAGTAACAAAAAAAATTAAATCATCAATCAAATCATTGTTTTAGGACTTAACCTCACCTGACCAGCAGTTTATGACTTAAACAAATTTGCACCTGAATTATGCATCAGAAATAATTCCAAACTACAACAGACATTTTTTTTAGATTTCTCTAAATTGACAGTTTTTGGAGTAGCTGGACTTAAATCCAGTTGTGATGCTGGTGCAGTGAACTTAAACAAACTGTAAAACCTTTAGATCTGGATGAAATAAAACAAGTAAGAAAAGGAAATAGGTCAAAATCCTTCACCAACCTGTTGCTAGTTATCAAAATCACTTGTTTGCCTGATCAGTTGGAATGTGATTACTTTTTCCTTACAAAAAGAAAGGCTGGTTTCCAGTTACTGAATGAAATGGTCAGATAAAAAAAATGCTTTTTATGTTTTTACTCAGGTTACCTTTGTCTAACATCAAAATCTGTCTGAATACCTGAAACATTAAGGTGTGACAAAAAACAAAAAGAAAACACATCTGTGAGGCGACAACATGCTTTCCCATATGTATACATGTACTTTTTTCATCTCAGTGATTTAAAAAAAAACTTTTTTCATCAGAAAAAACTGTTCAGCCCAGCATGTTGTATCAGCTGTATAAGAAGCAACTGAATAGATCTGTAAAAAGGCAGCCTGATGCAATCCAGATAAATGTGGTCGTAATGGAAACCAGATTGAGATAGTAGTAGCTGGTGAAGTTGGCAGGTCTCACAGGAAATCGCTGACTGCTCTCTGTGTCAGTATTAATTGGCCCACTGAGGGCTTCCTATTTGTGCGTCATGAGAGACAGGCAAGGTGCCAAGAACTATTTCTTTTTCTTATATTCATGAAGATGCATTCATAGATCATCAATGAGGCTTACCAAATAAATAACAGCTTTTTCAAGTCGCAGAAACTTTTAAACTAAAATCAAAGAACAAGTCTAGACAGCATAAACATCGGATCAAACTGCTCCTCATAAGCATTTAAGATATTTAAAGATGCCATAACTGATGCCCAGGCTAATTGAATATTATGCACAGGCTGAAAAGTTAGAAAAGTCTACGCTTGCATGCCAAGTGCATGTATGGCATGTTAGTGAGGGTTACAGCATCATTTCATCATCATCTCTCTCAGAATTTATTGTCCTCAACTTTTGCCCCTCTTTGAACACATGAAGAAAACATGTGGCTCAGTTACCAGTTGTGAATGGAAGCCCCCCTCAGAGGGGATTTGTGGATGTTTCTACTTGTGTTCAGTTCAATGATTGCTTCCACGTTTGTGTCTTTGGCAGGAAAAAGGGGTAATCTATTCTGGACAAGGGGAAAATTGAAATTTTTCATCATGAATTTTAAAACTAGAACACCCCTTTTTTTGTTTAAATGAGCCGTGACTGAGGCAGTGAGTTATGCAGCACTGATCCTCGAGGTCTTGATGGAAAATTAAAGGTGTATGATGTGAAAAAACAAACTAGTAAGTCGTTCTTTGGGATCCCAAAGGAGATCTTTCGCTTTTATCAACTCAAACTCCAACACCCACGATTTGTTGCTCAAGCACACAAAAAGTAAACTCCTAAAAGTGACAGCTTATATCATGTCTGCATTTAGCACATGATAGAGTTTGTAAAAAATTGACAATTTTTAAATGTTACAGGAAAGGATTTTATGTAGAAACAAAATAGCTAAAATGGGTGCATACTAAAGTAAAAGACAAATTAAATAAACTTGTATTATATCTTTTCTTTGATTGTTCAACGTTTGATACATAAAGAAATACATAAAACAGTTTAAATTTAGCAAAAAAGGGCATAAACAACTGTAAATGGAAGTGGATAAAGAGATCCATCGAATCCATTATGCTTTCAATGATAGTTATTAAATTAGTCAATTTAGTTGATTACAGTATTTTGAAACTGACGCACAAAGCTCCACAACATCTTCACCAAATAATGTCCAAAAGATATTTTTAAAAAGTCAAGTTTTCCCTTAATTTGAGCTGGTAGGTTCCATTTTCTCAAATTAAGAGCAACTACAACAATTTTAAGAGTGCTTTATTTATTTTTAGGTCTGTTTTTGCTATTTATAGTACGATGTGTTTCTGTGTATAGAGTCAGTTTGAAGAACATTTTTACAGGAACCGTTTGGTAAAATTCAAAAATCTGTATTTTCTGTATTTAGAAAACCTGTAAGGACAAAATGAAAAAAAAAATATATAATGAACCAGGTTAAACTGTTTGGGTTGTTTTCTGCTTGATATTAATGTTTAGAAAAAAATGAAGGGTTTCACTTAAGTGGTCACATAGCTATTTGTAAATCTGCAGCTGATTTTATTAATCAGTTAAATATTTAAAGCTATTATTGGTCCAATAATATACCTTCTTCAATCTCCTCCTTTTAATTTATTTTTTTTCGCATTGTTTATTCAGTTTTGTCAAGAATGAATTAGATAAGAAAAAAAAAAGCAAAAATAAGATGAATGATAAAGGGAACAACAGCATTAAAGAGTCCCAGTAGATCTAACTGGATTATTTACAGCTCTCAGAGTGTGTGACTCTGCGATGTGAAGCCATTAATACCCCAGGGACCTGATGTCTATCACCTTTGAGCTTTGCAGCTGATACACATTCAGGCAGCCTGCTTTCCCACTAACGGATCCAGAAGGAGTTTCTACGTTCCAAGAAAAAAATGTTTTTTGTTTTTTTTATTTCTACAACATGAATTAAATGGATAAACTCGGTCATTAGCTTGTAGTTCGGCTCTGCAAAGCCCTGTAAGAAAGTTGCAATAAGTTGCAGGATGGTGGCTTTTTAGGACTTTCACACCTGATCTGCACTTACAGAGTTTGGAGAGAAAAACAGAGAAATTCAGGTCAAAAAAGCATCCAGCAGGCCAGTCGTTACTGGTAATTCCGCTGCCCAGATGGAATCATCTGGTAGAGAATATTTTTAATGCAGTTTTAAACCTTAAACATAAAAAAGGTTGTAAACAAAAAAAAGTACAAATAAAAAAAAAAGACGAATACAGAAAAAAAAAACAAATGAATAAAACAAAATATTTATTTAGTATATTTAAAAAGGTAATAATCAATCAAATAAATAAGCAAATAAAGACAGATTGTTAATTTCACAAAATTAAGCATCATTATGTCTCAGACAGCCCATCAGA